TTCCAGCGACCACTGCCTACGCGGCCATTGGTTATAGGGGTAAATCCACTGCCCTGTAGATCGGCGCCAAGAGTCTGAATGCACGAGTTATCGTGTATCGCTTGGTTCATGAACAGTGTTGTCACTGAGGGGGGACGGACACGCACGAAGAGAGTCCGTACGGAAACGGAATAGGCCGATATAGCATCGTACCATCGTGCCCAACAAACGACTGTGTCGACGCGTTCGGATCTGCCACAGCAATAGCTGCTGCAGCAGCAGCAGCAGTAGCAGCAGGAGCGGACAGCTGCTGTCATTGCGTTTGTGTTGAAAGCTTCCGTATTGGCATTTTGATTGCTTCAAGGACTTCACCACGAGTGTCGTCTTTTTTTCGATTTTGCCTCTGTTCTTCCCCATTCGTTTTGCTTCTAGGTGTCTTGCCAGCAGCATGCAAAGCTCCTGAGGTCGGGTAAGGATGAGGATCGAGCCAAGGCCAAAAGCGTGGAGCTGCTCATGGAGATGCACCCTTCCCTCAAGGTGCGCGCGACTACTAATTAGGGGTCCACACAGCAACATCCCATTTTTCCACCGCCCGAGATACATTTTTGCGTCTGCTCCGCCGTCTTGTGGTTTTAACTCTTTCGAGTTCGTTGGTTTCAAGTCGCCATTGGGCTTTTGATCTTGAATCGATCTACGAAGAGGAGGACACGAATGCGGAGGCCGCCACAGTTTCGACTATGAGGCAAACGAACAGCCACAACGGCCGTGGCGTAGTTTTGACGCGATGACAACCTAGGCATGGTCAACCCGCGTCGATGTGTGTTTTCAACCAGGACCGAACATGATGCGATTTCAGCTACGCTGCTGTTTTTGTGGGTGTCGAAAAGCTCTTGCTCGAGCCTCAAGTCGTTGTCCTAACACACCACGTGATGCTCGACAAAAGCTACAAGTTTGATTGGGATTGATTTTGTGCACGTCAACTTCGAGGCTCATACTGGAATTCAAGTCTTAAAGCATTGTGGCGATAAGTAGTTGGAATAGAGTAGTGTTCCCCAGACATGAACCCAGGAGTCCAAGGGAATCAGGGACAGTGCTTGATTGACCGCCTCACTGCTTAGAGGTATATTCTACAGCAGGACGAAGCCGGGCGCGAGAACGGGGTCAAGGGAATGCCTTAGCCATGGTGCACGTGTAGGGGTAGCAGCTTCGACGCTACCTGCTGGCACGGACGGCATCCTCTGCAACCCTACCCGCGACTGACCATGCTACCATATGTCAAGCAGCACGTAAAATTTGCTGATACACGGACACACGGCTGGTTTAAAGCCTAGCGTTAGCGTTTGTCAACCACAGCCCCCGCCGAAGCACCAACTCCAAGGCAGACAACCAAACTCTGCTAATCAAAGACTTGAACAATGTTTTTGTTTCTCCATCTGCGCCAAAAAGGTAGCGTATGTGGAATCAGGCAAGGACGGCAGGCACCACTCCGTGCTCATCCGCTACGACGAGGCCCGGAGCCTCATCGTGAAGCAGTACGAGGTGGAGCTGCCGGGGCCCATCCTTCTCGGGAAGGGAAAGCCAAACAACCAGAACCACGTCATCATCTTCACGAGAGGGGAGGCGGTCCAGGCCATCGACATGAACCAGGACGGATGTGCGGCGCGTTGGTTTGGGTCAGGGTTACAGTTGACTACCGCTTTATGTCGAGTTATTAGTTGACTACCACCTCTTCTACACGTAAATGAGTGTTTGTGAGAGGTATTTTGGTCACGCCGAGGCCAGCACTCACCCGGCAGGAAGTTCTATAGCGACGCGTTATTTTTGTACCTGTGTTGTGTGTTGCTTGTGTCGTCGATTTCGTACCCCCGCACGTTGTGTCCAAGATCCCGGGCCTCTGGTCGTGGTTGCACCGTCTTCTCGTTTCAGTATGCCCGGTCGCTGCACAACAGCCCGACAGGACTCAGAAACATTCAAGTTTCGCTGCTGTCCTCGCCGCTGTTTATGGCTCTGCGTTGGTAACATTTTGTG